TGTAATCCTCGATCATTATTGTAGGTAGTAAAATTAATTAAGCTTTCTTACGAGAGATCCTCTCCGCATAATCAACGAATACCTTTAATTTCTCCGCTGCTTTTTATCTTTGCGGATTAATGTTTGCAGACGTTTTATTTGCGCGGTGCGCATGTTGAATATCGTTTTGCGTTGCTACGCCCTCGCTCTTTGAGCCATTTCTCGAGTTACCCTCCTGAGTACCGTCTGTTAAAGTGTATGCTCTGTTCCGTCTATACGAAATACACAAAGTTCGCCTAGAAAGGCGTCCGGCCAGATACGCAGCAAATACCGGACGCCGAGCCAAAGCGATTGTTTATTGCCACCGGCGTGTTTTGAGGAAGAGTCGCGCGAGATAAATATTTCAGCGAGTTTATTTAATATGTGTTAATATGCATTATCATGCTAATAAAACCAATTTTCGCAAATGGAAGAGTAATTTATTGCAGTCAACAAACAGACAAATTGCATGCCGATTACTCATTGTCAGAGAATAGTACACGATCGCGCGAGCGCAGATTGTGAATCGATAAAGTCACGCCATCAGCCTTGATCTATAACTAACTTGTGCCCAAAAATGTGTGGCGTCTCGACAATGCGTTTGATCTTTAGACAACACATTGTAATACAATTGTGATTATGCCATCGACAGTTTTTTTTACTGACAATGTGCATAGTCACGCGAAGTGTGCAGTGCCAAAACAAAATGGTCAAACCATATGGCGAATGGTGAATCACACAATTTTCAAATGAAGGTAATAAATATCACAAATATCAGCGAATAGCAGTTGCTGTATAAATTTGCACGTTTTTGCGAATTTATTTACCATCTGCTTTATGGTATGATCATAACGAAGAGGTTTAATACAGGTTAGGCCATTATGGCTTTTGATCGCATTATATAAGCGGTTTGATTACACAAACAAAAAGAACAGACACGTGTCTTAAATGCACGTGTCTTATGACAAGGTACGCGTCCGCTAAAATATTTCCTCACTTCGACCGTTTTACGCGCATCAAGCAACAGGTCGTCAAAGTCATTTCCAAACATTTGTGATGCAACATGTAAATCAGCAACATTGTGCTGAATAAATGAGGTCTCCGCAACTCCGTTTGCGCGTGACGCACATACTTGTTTCTCCATCAGATTATAGCAAAAGTTATATCGACTTATATTTACGCGGATTATAATAATTGATTAATGCATCGATTAATAATGGCCGAAATTAACTGCGCGTAACACGAATACTACATAGTAAACTGTGTACTTGGTAACATGTTAATTAGTAGACGTAGTAGACGAAAGTAAACGGCACGTTGTTGTTGGTTCTTGAATATTCGATTATGCAAGCCGGCAATGCTGCTATGTGCTTGCGAAATAGTATTTAAGTTGCAGTAACCATTAATGTGTCAACTTATCAATGTGATATTAATAGTTCAAATAATTCATAAATTGTAATTCGTAAAAAATTATTTGTACTCACTTTCTTTTACAATTTGTAACTGGCATTTTGTATTTTATCTTATCTTATATTTAAAAATACAAATTAAAAATAAGTTAAACAATTAAATATTATTTATCGGCTTTACATAATTTTAATGTAATATTTGCATTGCATCTACTTTTTTATCTACTTTTTTCTCTTTCTTTTTTTCTAGTTTATTAATAATCAAAAATAATCTAAAGGTGTATATAATTTAACGATATAATATAGTGTTTATTTATTTTCAAAATTATTTTGAAACGGTTGACTCACATTTGTCAATCAAATTTCAATAACAAATTTAAATACTAGGATGGTCGCTTCAAGGTTAATGATAATTGCGAGAACTGTATAGCCACTATCTTGCAAAAATAGATAAGTACGAATTGGATATTTAAGACGAGTGACATCAAATGTTGATGTAATCGCGAAAAAAATATGCAGTTTTATGCTGATACTTTACTACTAATTTTACAACTTGCAAGTAGAAACGGAATACTCGAAATAATCAGTTCTCATCTTAATTGCGTCTCAACTAAAAGCCACACAAACGTTAGAAGATAATTTTTGTTGCCTTAACCAAGAAATTGTTATATTATATCGAATTCACTTATTATAAATTAAATATTTCATTAATTGTGTTATCATACGAGAGACTTATATAAAGTATGCAATCATTTCTGGACTAAATTTTAGAGACAAATTTTGCATGTTTAATTTCAATTTCTTGATTTGTACTTAATTAAAATAACTGTATATTTTTTATATTTTATATATCATACATAAAACAAAGAAAAATTTATATAACTATAGAATAAAACTATAAATATTGCAATTCTCTAATGCTTGATCTGGTTTCAGGACAGCTATTATATAACTTTCACGATTTAGATCGCAAACTTGTTTGTAGGTAGTAAAGTGTGAGTACAAAAGTTGAACGATTGTAGATATTTTTTTTCAATTATATTAACCTTTCCGATCGGTGAGTTTTTGATCGCGATTTTATTCGCAAATTGCATATAATATGAATCTGATAATATATGTGATTATAGCAAAAAGATTAAAAATATTCAATATTTAGCATTTTATCGATTTAATTTAAGGCATAAAAATGAATAAAATGTACATTTCAACATTCTAGACCATTTTAAACAAATGTTTTTTTAAAATACAAGATTCTAAAGTATAAAAATTTTATATTATAACATTTAGTAGATCTAGAACTTTAGAATGTTTTCTTTACTGCGATGTATTGAAATCTTATATTTTAATATTATTTATTTTATAAAAGTAATCTTGAGATTTTCGCATGAACGTAAACATTTATTGCAATCGAAATTGACTTTGCTCTTGATTGACTTATTTGCTCGCAAAGTCGGAATTATTCCAATTATTTTGGAATTTATCTGAATATTTATAATAGACAAACCGACGAAAAACAGAATTATTAAAAATTTTTCTGAATAGATATATAACAACTGTTCAGGACTATTTTTATCTGTTTTTTTATAATACTTCAATTTCTGTGCAATTGAAATTATTGCGGAAAGTTTTATATCCGAGACATCAGAGTGTCACGTTCGAGGACACTTCAATTTACGTCTAATATCTTCGTAATGCTGTATAGCGAGCCAACAACCTACGTCTTAATTGGCGTAATTCGATTCTGCCTCATGTTTTACGCTTATCACTTTAGCAACAACTGTCTCACAGTGATTTCTACCGAATTTCAGATTTCCTTAAAACGGCTTATGTCATTTTCTTAATAACTTGATAAATGGAATACAAATACCGCCATTTCCGAAATTATGACTAAAAGAACAAAGTGGCAAAAGTTCCGCAACTAAATGAAACATACATGAGTAATGATTACGATTATGCTATATATTTTTCTGTTTATAATACTGTTATTATTTTATTTTAATTTTTTTAATTTTAATCATATTACGGCGTTATATTGTTGCACCCGCAACGCGGAAAAAAACTCGCAAATGCGCACGCGTGAAATAAGAATACAAGTTTAATGATTTAATCTGATTTAATCGAACACGGCACTATATGTACATACAAGCAATCTTCTCAATTCTCTTTAAATCGACAAGCTGTAACATGCTCTCACGATGCCGAGGATCAAACGCGACTCTGATTTATTTATTAACTTTGTAACCAGGCAAAAAATGCCTCTTAATTTTTTCACGACATGTATCACAGCTTGCCGAACGAACATAATATCGTAATATAGCCAAGCGATGATATTCCCACAGCGCGGACACATCTTCAAAAGTGTCGTCCCGAGATATATATTTCAAGCACATTAAACTGAGATTTCTTGACCATAAAATTTTAAATCTAAAATTTTTAATCTAAAATTTTATTCTGTTAATTTTTTTCAAGATAATATTCCATGATTAATTATTCTTATTTAAATAAATATTTTATCTGTTGCGGTCGAATGGCTATTCGAAAAATAAGATTATATTATTTATATACATAGTGTTATGTATCATAAGAATATTATATATTTTGAAGTTATAGTTTATAAATAGAATTATAGTGAAGTTATAGTTTATAAATAGAAGCTATGGAAATAGAAGATAATTTCAGTAATCATATAATGTGCACCAAACATGTCGAAAGAGTGCGCATTATAAATGTATATACACGTGCAAGATACGCGTGACTGTTTATTAAAGTACACACGTACATGTTTAGCTGCCATCAAGAGTGTACCATGTATTTATTTTCGTCTATAGTCGCATGATGGTATGCTAGTTGACTGTATGATAACCACGGAAAGCTATACGATGTAATAAAGATATTATGGTCTCTGCCTGCTGAGTGAATTCAGTATAAATTTGGAGCATTTGGTCGTAGGACTTAATTACGTGAATTATTGAGCCAAATATGCTAAATGTGTAAATAATTAAGATTGGCTGGTTATCCGTATTCATACAATAATAACCGTGAAACTCTTTATGTTAAAATAGAATTAGAAAAACAGATGAATACGTTATTATTGATACTGACAAGAGAGTGATTTTATTATTATGACTAAAGAGTTTACTGAAACTATTATCAGTATTAGATGAGAAATTATATTATTAACCTATGTACATGTGCCCAAAAAACCACCATTATTGAATCGAATAACATCATCTTTTTAATAGCACCAGCTACATACCGGTTTCCATTAAAAAAAAAAAAAATTGTAGATGATAATTATCCCACAAAGTTATAAATCTAGTTTGTTTTATCTCGAAATGTAAATTCTCGGTAGGCATGGGTCATTCACATTATTAGCATATGGATTAGCACCTGGAATTATTATAAATTATTTTATAACTACATATGCAAATGTATTCAAGAAGACGAACATTGTTTGCTTTATATAATGTAAATTTTTATAAATAAATTAGTAATATTTATTTATGTTATTTTATATATCAATAACACCTGGACATTTGGAGCTAAAGTTTGCTTGCCTTTTTTTATTTACAGCAACCCACGTGCGTCGCGGAACATGGCGGAGAAGCAACGCCGCGACAATCTTAACACGCACATCGCGTCGATGGCTGCACTCATACCGATTGTCGCTACAAGTACGAAGAAGATGGACAAAATATCCGTTCTGAGGTTAGCCTGCGCTTTCCTGAGGACACACTACAGTAAGTCCATTTCGTCAAAATGGTTTTCCCTCGCTATTCCAGCCTTTTTTTAACATTTTTCCGAGTAATAAATACAAATGTAAATGTTGAACAGCCGATATCGGCCTTATAGAATACATGCTAAGTTTGGGATTTATCCGTTTACGTTTATATTGATGCGACTCCAATTACACTTGCGTGGAAAAAGTATTACTCACGGATCACGTGTGTTGTACATTATTTACAGCAATCGGGCAAGGCTTGGCGAATTTTCTTCCCGAGCAGTTCAACGAGTTTGATCTGGAGCAATATTTTGTCGATGTGAGTATAACAATAATCTCTAATAGATTCCAACATGATCGACTCTACACTTATTTTTCAAATCGTAACAGCACCTGGTTGACAGCAACGGGTTCTTCCTCATAGTCACCTCAAGGGGGAAGATTGTCTACGTGAGTCGACAAGTGGAGCAACACCTCGGCCACGTCCAGGTGAGTTTTTGCTCTTATAACTGCAATTGCTCGAAAACTGTAGATATACTTCAATATTTTTGCGTAAAGGAAAAGATTAATTTTATTTCCTCTAAAAAATCTATGTGAAAAGGACACATTTGGTAATGCTGACGTATCTCATATAGAAATGAAACAATGAACAATTTATGAGTTTAGAAATATCAAATTTTTATATTAGTTACATAACTTAAAAGTTTTGACGATTATTACAATAAATGATTAATGTCTTTCGTGACAGATAAGTAAAAAAATTTAAACGAAAATAAAAAAGTCTGAATTAAATCATATTTATTTTTTTAATTTTTTTTTAATTCTGAATTTTTTACCATCATACTAACGTATAATATTTAGGATCTGAACATTTAAGAAACTTCAATATCTATATCGTATTATTGCAAACGATGTAATTTTTTTGCTCTCGACGCATAAGCGATTAAAAACCTGATTAGTCGCGAATATGAGACTTATCCTTGTTTGTTCACATATTCATCTACGATACCTTGAGCTTTAGATAAAAATGCAAATACATCATATCGATGAAGATTATGAGAACAGTTTTTCAGCAGGTATCATTGACAGCAGGACATATTAATACGCTTTATCACGTCTCGATGTAAGATCAAACTTACACTTTGTATCGTGCGGGATAAAACGCTTTAAATATTCGCCTTGGAAATATTAACGAGAGTTATTCATCCACGTCACTGTTACGCGGAATTTTCCGTCTTTTCCGTGCACGGCAATTTATTTTTTTACAGCGCATTTATATTGCGGGCATTGGAACTGTATAATATTTTCGCGCCAGAGTTGACGAAAGAAGGAAAGAGAAAGGAGGCGAGGGAAAGGATAAGAGAAAAACAGCGATCGCGATCTTGCGGCTGCAGCTTCGACCCACCCTGTACGCGCGGAGTTAGGAATTATCGATCAAATGAGCGCGTGCAACGCAAATACGCTCCCATGGCAACCGCGCGCGTTGTGTGCTCTTTGCTCCTTTCCGCTCGCTCCGGAACGTACCTGCCAATATCCGTTCGTTTTGTGTATTTGCACGCGGGAATTACCCGCGCAATTGCTCGCGAAAAGATCGCGTGTTTGTTCGCGCGTTTTTCGACGAAAAATTCTACTTGCAGCAAATAAGAGGTTGCAATGATTCCGCTGAGTAATTATTCGCCGGATCTACCACCGTACGATTTAAATTAAAAATTCACATATTTAATTTCATGCAAATATCTCGATTCAACGAGTTTTGCCAAAATTTTAATATCTTAATTTATTAAATATGCTTGCGTAAGTGGCGAAACGCGCATATGAACATTTTAGAGATAATCGGATTTATACACTGGAAAAAAAGTTTTGTTGTATTATAAGAAATTCTGGTTGATTCTACTAGTACGTTTGTTCAAAAATGGACAAAACAAATTTGTTGTTGGAATTACCAGAAGATTCTGTTAAATTTCATCCTGTTTAAATCTATCAGAATTTCTTGTAAACCTTACTACATCGTGTTGTTAGATTTACAAAACTCTACCAGAATTTCTTGTAAACCTTACCACATTGTGTTGTTAGATTTACAAAACTCTACCAGAATTTCTTGTTAACTTTACTATATCGTTTTGTTAGGTTAACACAACTTTGTAGTTAAAAAACAAGTTCGGATAGGTGTGGTTTTTGTAAAATACTAACAATATATTTTGGTTTAAAGCAGTGCTCGGAATTAGTCTGAACATTTCAGCCGATTTCCGTAGTATAACGCCTCCTTTCCTCTCCTTACCGCACGCGCCGCAGCCGCTAGGGCCAGCGCCGTCGAACGTTAGGAGCGGCACTATCTGATTAGGTTCTGTGAGTAGGTTCTTCTCCCTATTTATTAAAATTAAAAATTTATTAAAATTATTAAAATAAATTTTTTTTAAATTTATTAAGTGGAAATATTTCAATAGATTTCTACGTCACCCATGAGGTACTAATGCTGACACGTTTTTCAAAAAGTGGTTTTTATCTACATTATTGCATCAATTGTTCATTCTCATAAAAGGCCAAGAAAATCTAATTAAGAAAATCTCTTTTATATATATATTTTTTTAAATTAAGAATTTA